TAGTTTTAGAAAGAACCTTGTTTCAGTTTCTAAACTCGTTATGGATGGTTTTTCAGTTTCGTTTGATGACATGGTTATTATTCGTTTTGAAAATCGTTTCATATGTTGTGGTTCATTAGTTGGCAATTTATATGTTCTCAAACCGAACTCTCCCACAGTGCAACATAATGAATTGAATAATGTCATAACTACATCTAATAAGAGGAAGGAGTCTTCGCAGATGAATCAAGCATATCTGTGGCACCTTAGACTTGGACACATCAACCTTAGGAGGATTCAAAAGTTAGTGGCCAGTGGACATCTCGGTCCATTGGAAGAGCACTATCCAACTTGCGAATCATGCCTAGAAGGTAAGATGGCCAAGAGGCCGTTTACGGCAAAGGGGTATAGGAGCCAAGAAGTGCTAGGATTGATTCATTCTGATTTGTGTGGTCCTATGTCGATCCAGGCTAGAGGAGGTTTCGAGTACTATGTGTCTTTCATAGATGATTACTCGAGATTTGGGTACGTTTATCTGTTGCACCGCAAGTCCGAATGCTTTGAGAAATTCAAGGAGTATCGGGCAGTTGTGGAGAAGCTTCATGGTAAATGTATCAAGTCACTTCGTTCTGATCGAGGTGGCGAATACCTTTTTGGAGAGTTCAGGACATACTTATCGGAAGCTGGGATTGAATCCCAACTGACTGCACCCGGCACGCCCCAGCAGAACGGGGTTGCAGAGCGAAGAAATAGGACACTTATGGAGATGGTTAGATCTATGATGAGTTATTCGAGGTTACCAGATTCGTTTTGGGGAATGGCGCTGGAAACAGCATCGTACATTCTGAACTTGGTTCCATCGAAGTCAGTTGATACTACTCCTTACGAATTGTGGAAAGGGCGTAGGCCAGGCTTTTCACATATTCGGGTATGGGGTAGTCCTGCACACGTGTTAGTGCAGGAACCTGGCAAGTTGGAGAAACGTTCGGAAGCACGAGTTTTCGTAGGCTATCCCAAGGAAACGAAAGGTGGATTATTTTATAGTCCCGGGGATCAGAAGGTGATCGTTTCGACGAACGCTAGATTCTTGGAAGAAGACTATATTATGAATCATAAGCCCGCGAGTAGACTAGTCTTAGAGGAGTTAAGGGGTGAAAGCGATGGTTCCCCACCGAGTGCGCAAGTAGATACATCACATAATACTGCAACACGACACACTGAGAGTGTACCAGTGCAGACAGTGCCTCGTCGCAGTGGGAGGGTTTCTCATTTACCCGACCGATGGATAGGTCTTGGAGAGTCGTCAGACTCAGTTCCAGGAGGCCTAGAATCGGACCCAAGAACTTACGATGAGGCACTCCAAGATAAAGATGCAGATTCATGGAATGTTGCAATGAAAGCTGAAATGGGGTCAATGGACTCCAATCAGGTCTGGGATCTTGTAGAACTACCCGATGGGGTACGACCCATTGGATGTAAGTGGATCTATAAGAGAAAGAGAGGATTGGATGGGAAGGTGCAAACCTTTAAAGCTAGGCTTGTTGCGAAAGGTTATACCCAGATCGAGGGTATTGATTATGATGAGACCTTTTCGCCAGTAGCTATGCTTAAGTCCATTCGGATTCTCTTGGCTGTAGCCGCTCATATGGACTATGAGGTCTGGCAGATGGATGTCAAGACAGCTTTCCTTAATGGGAACCTGCAAGAAGACATCTATATGCAGCAACCAGAGGGATTCATTGCTGAAGGTCGTGAGCATCTAGTGTGTAAGCTTAATCGGTCTATTTATGGACTGAAGCAAGCTTCGAGATCTTGGAACATCCGTTTTGATGAGGTGATCCAGTCGTACGGGTTCACTCAATGTCCGGATGAGCATTGTGTTTACAAGAAAATCAGTGGGAGCGTGGTGGTGTTTCTTGTGCTTTACGTAGATGACATACTGCTTATTGGAAACAGTAAGAAGGAGTTATCAGACGTAAAGGTGTGGTTGTCTAAGCAGTTTGATATGAAGGACTTAGGTGAAGCAGGACACATTCTTGGTATTAGGCTCATTAGAGATCGTAAGAAGAGAATGTTGTGCTTATCCCAGTCTTCATACATAGATACTGTCTTGGCCAGATTTAGCATGCAGGATTCCAAGAAAGGTATGTTACCTTTTAGACATGGAATACCTTTATCTAAGGAGATGTCTCCTAAGACGTCTAAGGAGATAGAGGAGATGAAGACAGTTCCTTATGCTTCGGCAGTAGGAAGTCTCATGTATGCAATGCTATGCACAAGGCCGGATATTAGCTACGCCGTTGGCATGGTAGCTAGATATCAAAGTAATCCAGGACGGGAACATTGGTCTGCGGTGAAGCATATACTCAAGTACCTGAGAAGGACTAAGGAGTACATGTTAGTTTACCGTGCAGACAGCTTGTTACCTCTGGGTTACAGTGATTCTGATTTCCAGTCAGATAGGGATGAAAGTAAGTCAACCTCAGGTTATGTGTTTACCTTGGGAAGTGGAGCCATTTCATGGAGGAGTGCTAAGCAGAAATGCGTGGCAGACTCCACCATGGAAGCCGAGTACATAGCAGCCTCAGAGGCAGCGAAAGAGGCAGTTTGGCTCAGGAACTTCTTAGTGGACTTAGAGGTTATACCGAGTTTGCCACGTGGTATCACCGTGTACTGTGATAACAGTGGAGCAGTAGCGAACTCAAAAGAACCTCGAGCCCACAGGGCAAGCAAACACATAGAGCGCAAATACCATCTGATTCGGGATATCGTTGGTAGAGGAGACGTTGATGTTGCCAAGATTGCATCAGAGGATGCATGGCAATAGGATCGACATAGGTCTTTTAGAATAACGGATTGATAGGACTATACTGTAAAAGCGAAAGCTTTAAGTATAAGTGGGAGATTGTTAGTGTTATATACTGAAAGCTTGGCTTTGCATGTTATTACACATTTACCCTTTATGAATGAGAATCATGTTAGATTAAACAAGTTCTACGTTCTGTTGTTCTGCACTTAGATAGGGTGGGTCGTCATCGGGCGAACCGAAGATCACTCTATCAGTCACTTGCGAACAAGAATAGTTGTTCACAACCTAGATGGACATGAACACCCCATCCGAACGGTTGTAGTGTCAACTGTACAGTTTGTCTTGACTGATTAGTTGCACTAGTACATTTATGTATTGAACAGGATCCCAGAGAGGAGAAGTTCATTTTATACTGATCGTCGTAAATGAACTAGGCCTCGGTTAATTACTGCGTTCTCTTAACCCGTAAGATATTAAACAGGCAGATATATATAATATATATTACTTTGATTCACATGGGTGAGGTTCAGTTCGCTGGATTAATATTCCTACTGTTTTGGGTAATATTATTATATATAGGATGTGCTGTTAGGATATTTACGGTCACCATGTGCGTTAGTTTGATGATGTCCCCGGAGTGAGTTCATGAAGGATTGTTATGCTAAACCCTGCAGGTGGATTAAATTCCGGCATAATAAGAATGTGATGAACGAGCGCTAGCTTCGGTGAAATAATAATAAATTAATTAATTCTTGATTGTCAGTAATCGAATTAATTAATGGACATTATATCTTAAACGTGGGGAGGTAAATCGAGTAATTATTATTGGAGTCTCAAATGTAATTTGGGCTAGGGAAAGGGAGTGCAATAATATAATGTTGGTGGCCCATTAATATTATTTAATTAATTAGAGGAGTGGGTTTGGCCCACAGTTAGTCTAATTAATTAAGGAGCCCTTTTCCTAATCTCCTTAGGGTCCCTACTGTAGCTCTATATATACATCATTAAGCTCATGAGAAGAGAATAGAATTCATTCTCACGTGAAACACGCCTCTCTCTCTAGATCTCATTCGAGCTTTATCTTCTTCTTGTTGCTCCACTGGTACAAGTTGAAGAAGGGTGTATTGAGTAATACAGTAGAAGATCTGTAGGTAAACCGAGACGAAATTGATTTTGACCTACAGAACTAACCGGAAGTCCGATTGAGACGTACAGTATACCCAGACGACCGTCTCGACGAGAGCTTTCCATCGCCGCCGACGTCGCCGGAATCCGACGCCGCACGCGCCCTCACGCGCCGCCGGAAGGTGTCTGGCAGCAAAATTTCGTTTTGATCTGTTTGCATCCGTTTGATCCAGTTTTGATCTGATCTTGTTCGTGCAACCCAAGACGCGTGTTGCGGTCAATCAATTGCGGTCAACCGTTCGTGGTCAACCAGATCTACATAAATTTTAAGCCGTAAGTTCTCTACGTCAAACCTTTAGATCCGCTGCGCATAGGTTTACGTTTGCTATTGAATTCGTGATTTGTACATAACGAGATCCTCACAGATCCCAACACCTAAAACCGATTTAATTGGTCGAGTTATTCGATCGATTAACCGAATTAATCTAAATAATATATATAATTTATTACTTATATTATAAAAAATATATTTATTTTTCAACGATTATATTTAATATTCTATAATTAGTTTTGACATTGATTGTGAATTGCGGTGATAAATGCAACGTGTTTTTTATACAGTGTGATGTGTTGTTTTACAAAGTGCAATATTTCGCTATATAAAGTGCACTAATATATAATTTTCCTTATAAATTATGTGTATTCAAGAAATATTTTTAAAGATATAATTGTAAATTGAATTAATATCAATAATTAAAATATATTTTTATATTTATATAAATTATTTATTATTATCAATTAATTTTAAATTATTTTAATATTTTATATTATTTATATTTAATAATTTATTTGTTATTTAATATATGTGTATATCAAAATATATAAAAAATAACTTTTCATTATCTTTCAATAATTAAAGATTTGACCCATGGGTCAAATTGAAATATCATCAAAATTATAAAAATTACAAATAGGGACCTATACATAATCAAGTTCTCAAAAAAGATGCCCAATTTCAAACATCAATTTCAGATTTTCAAATGGGCCCGTAACGCCACCTAGGGCGTGGCTTGAGCTGCACGGCAGCCTGAGGTGTTCGACAAGCAGCGGTGGAGGGGTCTCTCTCTTCGAACGACGGCCCAAGCGACAGGTGGTGGTTGAAATCGAAACGCCGCCCTTGTTGCCTCATTCGTCGGCGAAGTTGAGGCGAATCACGACAGTGATGGGTGAAAACAGCGGCGCGTGGTGGTGGAAGAGTTGCCGTTTCGACCTCTGAAAACCGGCGATGGTCATCGTGAAGAGGAGACTCGTGACGATGGTGAGGGGCAGACTCGAAAGTGTTCGGCGAGGTGGAAGAAAACGGTGACGACTGTAGCAGATCGGGGTGGACGAGGCTATTGTATGGCGGCGAGACGTCACGGGGTTGGCTGGTGGTCGGCGGCGAGGTAGTCGGTGGTTGGAAGTGTCTCAACCGTGCGTGTGTGTGAGTATTATGTGTGTGTGTGTGTGTGTGTGTGCGCGCGTGAGTAATGTGTGTGTTTGTAAGAGAAGAGATGAGTTGTGCGTGTGCGTGTGTGCATGTTGTGTGTGTGTGTGTGGCGTGTGTNGATTCACATGAGAATGATGCTTAGTGAAAGAAATGAGAATAAATTTTAGTCATTAGATCGAATGATTCAATGGCTAAAAAAAGGTCAAAATTATACATTTATTAAGGGTGTTTTAGACATTACCAATACACATCACCATGCCACATCACCACCCATACACCTACACACACACCTAACATATTACCAGGGACTTGATTGCAAATTCATAAGTTTTGATTAAAATGTCAATTTAGTCTCTGGGCTAAATCTATAATTTACAGAAACTTTAATAAATGTGTAATAAATTTGCAAATAAAAATTAGTGATTTAGAATTTCATTGACTTTTTGTTAAAAAAAAATTGATAGTGTTAAGGCACAATTTTACAATTTTATTAATTGTAAGTATGTTTTTAATTAAATTCATGACCAAACATGTAATTTTTAGCAATATTCTCATAAATTCATAAATGTTTAAAAATTTTAATAAATAAAAATATTAAAATAATAAATATACATTTATAATAATAGATAACAAATTATTTTAAGTATTTAAGTTAATTTATGTACAATTATTTCTACTAAATTTATTTTTCAAAAAGACATAATTTATATGGGATCATATAAATTAGTGCACTTTATATGTCAGCACGATGCACTTGATAACACAACACGTTGCACTTTATGAAGTAGCATGTTGCACTTTATTACCACACTCCACACACCATAAATTATAGAAAACAGATATATATAATATTTTAACATCAATCATATCATTTATCCACAGAAAACACAAGCATGTCTAACTTACAGTAGTTCACTTTATACATCAACACATTGCACTTTATAAAACAACACGTTGCACTTTACAAAACAATACGCCGCACTTTATCACGACTATCAGATTCCTCAATAGATATCGAAACTGACCGAACTAAAAATGTTCAACCATGAATAATATAAAAAATAATAAATATAATTATTAACATATTAAATATAATTTTTAGTATAAATAACAATTTATTTCGAGTATTTAGAATAATTCAGTTAAACGAACCGAATAAACCAATTAGTTATGTTCGTTTTCAATTTGATTTGGGACAAAGTTTGGTTGGTCCAATATGCACAATACAGACCAACACTGTACACCATAGTGTTAGACGAATTGCACTTTAATAACTGTTAGATTGTACAGTATACTTCGTTTAGATATAAACTAAATTTTAATATAAAATAATATAAAATGTTAAATACTAAACATGATTTTATATTTAATAATATAATTTATTTCTGTTTTTTTGGTCATTTTGGTTAATTGGTAAATTAAACCGATTATGTCGGTTGGGTTTTAGTATGTCTTGGGACAAAAGTTCGTCCAATTTATTAAATTCAATTTGAAATTTTAAATTGCAGCTGATTATTTTTATTTGCTTTAAAAAACTCGATTATTCCAGTTCGATGTCCTTTTTTTTTTTTTAATATTATTGATATTTTTTTATACTTTTATGTAATTATTTATTTTCAACCAACTATTAAATAAAGATATTGAATATTAATTATAGTTTCATTAATTACAAATTTGACCCATAGACTAAATTGTAATATATTAAAATTCCCGAAATTGCAAATAAGTCCTTGAGACTTATCAAATTTTCAAACTTAAGCCCTCAATAAAGAACGGTAAATCTAACACATCTCCCAGATTCGTCATCACTCCCGTCGTCAACCACCGTTGCCAGAGATTCGACGCAATTTTCGGCTGCCGTCATCGTGTCCACCGCGACCCGAGGTGCGACGACCACGAAAAAGCACGATGGAGGATATAGCAGGATCGCACCAGATCCGCCACCTTTCCTCGTAACCGCCATCGTCGACGCAGTCCCTCGCCCAGCGCCGCCGCTGTTCCCCGCACAGACAACACACCACCACTCAGACCACCACCATCTCGCCGGACACTTCCGCCACTTACACGACAACAACTTCGATGAAGATCTGTCGCCTTGATACTGGCGCGGCCAGCCGAGGCCTACGAAGAAGACGATCGGTCACTGATGATGTCATCTCTGTGTGTGAATTGTGTGTTTGTGTGTGTGTGCGGCGAGGGTGAGTGTGTGTTTTGTGTGTGTGCAGCGTGGGTGAGTGTGTGTTTTGTGTGTGTGCAGCGTGGGTGGGTGGGTGTTTTGGTGATTGTGTGTGTGAGAGAGAGAGAGAGAGACATTAGTGGTAGTGGTTAGGGTGGGGTCCACTATGTGATTAGGATTTGACCAAAACACCCTTAATAAGTGGCCAAATATATATATTTGACCACACTATAACTACTTAATTACGAGATTGGCATAACATGTTTGACTGATATTAATTAATTTTGACTTGATCGTGGCCATGGTTTGATGAATGAAATGGTTCATAATCATTCTTATTTCTTTCGCTATCTACCATTCTCATATGATCACTTATATATATATAGGAATTGGTTCCAATGGATCTACTTATTTAAAGTGAGGACGTGAGACTCATTTTTAGCCACAAGATATGGTACATCGTGTGTGGCCAAGATTTACTTTTTTCTTTTTATTATTTTAATTATTTAAATATTATTTTGACCCGTTGACTCCGGCGTTGACCGTTGACTTCCAGCGTTGACTTCTGGCGAAATTCGTTGACTTCCGGTGTTGCCCGTTGACAACTAACCTTCCAACTAGGTTAGTTCTTTGTAGTTGCTAGGTTAGTTCTCTGTAGTTGCTAGGTTAGTTCTCTGTAGTTGCTAGGTTAGTTCTCTGTAGTTGCTAGGTTAGTAGTTGCTAGGTTAGTTCTCTGTAGTTGCTAGGTTAGTAGTTGCTAGGTTTTTTGTTTTTTTTTTTTTACAAACAACGCCTCGGAAGGGCGGGGGATTGGGCTGGATCCCCAACCTGTGCATAGATCATGGCCCCAAAATCGGGGGCCCAAAATATCAACGAGCAAGATACAATAGTCTAAAGAGTCTCACTAACCAAAATAAAAAACAAGAAACAAAAAGAAAAACCGAAGAACGAAAAAGAAACAGAAACTACGATACAAAGTCGATCTTCGGGCTAACAGATGCCCGAAGTAAATTTCTAGACTAATGAAAGCAAAAATCCTAAACTACTGGAAGCGGAACGCTGGATATCCTAGCTGGTCCATCCGTGCAAGAGTGCAAAGGCAGAGTGGAGCAATGTCGGTCTGAAATGTATGTGTCTGGTATGGTGGCGCCAAGGCTGGCCAGATAGTCGGCAGGTCTGTTCCCCTCACAGAAAATGTGCGTGATCCTGTGATGGACAGACCGGAGTAGAGCTCTAATACGCATAAGCGGGTGCTGAATTTGCCACGAGCCCTGGTGGCCCGAGGTCAAAAGGGTGGCTACAGCCGCAGCGTCTAGCTCGATCCAAATGTGGCTAGAGAGGTGGACAGCAATCTGAAGGTCGATCTGTAATGCCTGAATCTCTGCATCATAGCTCGAGGAGGCCTGAAGGGACGCGTGGAAGGCGGTGATGAGGGCACCGCTATGGTCCCAGTTCAAGCCTCCTCCTCCGGCAACTCCAGTGTGGCGATCAAAGGAGCCATCAGTGTTCAGCTTGACCCACGGAGAGACAGGTCGAAGCCAAACAACAGCTCTGGGCTGAGGGTGCCGAACAGGCGGTGGTGGGGCCACCATATAGCGATGTGGTGGCGTGCAGCCTGTCCAGTCTCGGGTCGTGAGCCTGCCCAATGCGATGAGGAGTGAAGTGTGTCTCTCTACCTGCAAAACAATGTGAGAAAACATAAAACTAATATCCCTATGCTTCGCACTATTCCTTTCTGTCCAGGTGAACCAAAGGATCAGACAAGGAATGAGGAAGCCCACGTGTCTAAGGTGTGTGCTCTGTGAGAAGAAACTCAGAAGCTCAAAAAAACTGTATGTGGTGGGTAGGGATATATGTGTCCAAGTGGCAAAATGCTCTCACACTCTCCTCACAATCTCACTCTCTAGAAAAAGGTGGGTAAAGGTCTCGGTCTCATGGCGTCCAGTCTCAGAACAACACACACACCGAGAGGGGAAGGAGATCCCCCTCGCGTGTAGCACAGTATCGACGGGTATCCGGCACAAGAGGAGGCGCCAAAGGAACACCGAAATAGTAAGGGTGAAAAGGTCACTCCAGATGGCCCCGAAGAGGAGATTAGGCCGATCCCTCAACCTGATCTGCTCCCAAGCCGAGGTAGTAGAAAACACACCCGATGATGTAAGTCTCCACCTCATGCTATCTGAACCGTCCCCCGAGATAGGGATCTGCTGGATCTGATCTAATAAATGCCCGCTAAAATCCGCACCAGACCCCAACTCCCTATCAAGCTTCCCTCTATCCCACGACCCGTCCGTCCAAAGGTCGCTCACAAGCAGGTAGGGGGAATGCGACACCTGCATATCCCTAGACAACGGCCTATCACCTACCCACCACTCATCCCAGAAACTAACATCACTCTCGCCCAAAACCCAGAAAATGTGATCCTGGGCGCGCCTACCAACCCTAGTAAGGCGCAGCCACTACCTACTATCATGATCAACAGCCGTCACCCAACAAGGGTGGTTGGCACGTATAGGGCAGTACTTGCCGCGAAGGTACTGAGCCCAAAGCGACTTTCCTTCCCTGAAGTGCCACCACAGCTTGTATGAGAAAGCTGTAACAATGTCCCTGAGGATGCCAAGTCCACCCTCGGGGAGAGGGCGACAAATGGAGTCCCAACTCACCCAGTGGGTACGTCTCCCCCTCCCAGAACCATCCTCGCCCAAGAAATAACGAGCCATAATCTGGTCTATCTCGTCAATAGTAGACCTAGGGTGGTCGAGGACCATAAGCAAGTGAATCAGAAGAGAGCTAAGAGTGCTCTTGATCAGCGCAAGCCGACCACCGAAAGAAAGATGTCTATGCGACCAACCAGAGATCCTGTCGATCATCCTCTGCCTGACGCCCGCAAAGAGCGCTCTCGTGAAGTTGCCTTTATATAAAGGGACGCCAAGGTAGGTAATCGGAAGATCGCCACGCGCAAAGCCAGTAATGTCGTGGACCCGCTGAGCCCACCTGGCCGCGCTGGAAGAGAAGAGGGTGAATGTGCTCTTATGCACACTGACCAACTGACCGGTAACCGAGCCATAGTGCTCCAAAAGGCGCATGAGCTCGACCAGTCCATCATCATCCGCCCAGGTGAAGATGAAGATGTCATCCGCGTAAGAGAGGTGAGAGATGGGAGGACCATAGCCACGGGTGCTATACGTCATATGAGGAAAGTCGCGGATGAAACCGTCAAGGCAGCGAGAGAGGTAGTCCGCCGCAAGGACGAAAAGGGAGGGGGACAGCGGGTCGCCCTGTCTAAGGCCTCTAGATGAGGGAAAAAAATCGGTGGGGCTGCCATTGACCAGGACCGAGAACGTGCAGTGCTCCACGCACGCCTCGACAAAACTGATCCAACGGTCAGGAAATCCCATCCTAGCCAGGGCCTCCCTAAGAAACGACCACTCTACCCTATCGTACGCCTTAGCCATATCTAGCTTCAGCGCGATATTCAGAGCCCGCTTCCAATCCGCACGGAAGATGTCGTGGATCATCTCCTGGGCCAAAAGGATATTATCACTAATGACCCGATCTTTGACGAATCCACTCTGGTTTGGAGAGATGAGGGAGGGGAGAAGAGGGGAAAGACGGCCGTTAAGGATCTTCGAAATGAGCTTGTTGGTCACGTTACACAGACTGATGGGCCTGTAATCTGACCAAGAGCTCGGGTTGGGTCTTTTGGGGATCAAGACGACAGAGGTAGACGTGAAGGAATCCAGCATCTGGTGGCCGGAGAAAAAATCCAACATCGCCTCCTCGACGTCAGTCTCGACTAGATCCCAGCAGACCTGATAAAAGACGGAGGAGAAACCATCCGGGCCAGAAACGCTGTTGGGATCAATACCGAATACAGCATCCCTAACCTCCTCCCTACTCGGGAGCTCACAGAGCCCAATGAGATCGACCGAAGGAGGGATGGTGGGGAAAAGAGAAGCGTTCGGGGCCACAAGGGATCCTCTGTCAGATGTGAAGAGGGTCTGGAAGTGAGCAACAGCCGACTCCCGGATCTGAGCCTCCTGGGTCAGGGATGACCCATCAGCCTCGATACTGTGGATGTACGACTTAGCACGCTTCTGCCTAACGTAGCCCTGGAAGAACCTAGTATTCCGCTCGCCCTTCCGCTTCTGCCTAACGTAGCCCTGGTTAGTAGTTGCTAGGTTAGTTCTATGTAGTTGCTAGGTTAGTCGTCTGTAGTTGCTAAGTTCGTTCTCTGTAGTTGCTAGGTTAGTTCTCTTTAGTTGCTAAGCTAGTTCTCTGTAGTTGCTGGGTTAGTTCTCTGTAGTTGATTAATTAGTAGTTGCTAGGTTAGTAGTAGCTAGGTTAGTTCTCTAGTTGCTAGGTTAGTTCTATGTAGTTGCTAGGTTAGTTGTCTGTAGTTGCTATGAGTTGTCCGCATTTTAAGAGCTGACCGCACTTGATCCGCACCATATATATATATATATATATATATATATATATATATATATATATATTTCCATTATTTGAATATACAATTTTAAATTATTTTACAGCTAATGTTCATATTTTTTATTATAGTTATACAATAAAAAAAAACTTATTTACATGGAAGTTAAATAATTTATATTTATATTAAATTTACATATAGTCAAATTTTTAAAATATAATACACACTTTATCTAATTTAAATTTTTAAATATCATATACATACATATATATATATATATATATATATAACATATATATAAAATTTTGTTTCCCTATGTGTAAATCGATTACTAGTGTGTAAGAATGATTGAGTTTTATTAATTAATTATATTGATAATATTTAGGATGGTGGGGTAAAGTTAAACCTGAGTTAGATTTGATTTAAAAAAGTGATTGGTTAAAGATTATTGAAATTTTTTTAAAAAAAATTGTAATTTTGTATCCAAACTAGTTTCATGTAACAAGCTGACCGTACATGGATCAAACAATACAAAAACAGTGGTGGTGGTGGGTGGGTTCGATGAATTACACGGATATTTCTGAAGAGCGCATCCAACTATCAACGTACATACTTTGGTGATTATGGAAGGCGCGGAATTTGTGGGTCTTTGAACAAATTTGGCAACCGGAATGGTGGATAGTAAAGATGGCAATGCACGAATGGATGGAATATAGGAGCTGATTGATGAGAGCGGCAAACGAGGAGTTCAGTAGGCGCTAGGTCTTGTGTCAGTAGTGTTTTACTCTCTTTTCTTTTGTTCATGCTATCTGTTAGGATGAAGAGTATGTCTTGTTATTGTTTGTCTGGGCACTGTATGTCTGGTTTTGTAATAGTCTGGTTAGGTTGGCAATTGTGGGTTCATTGTTGGCAGTAGTTTTTGTGTTTAGCTCGATTAGGTTGCAAATGTCTTTGTAACCTCCCAGATCATGCGGTATGGGACTTTTGTCCCTTGTACATTTCCCCTTTATTTGTTTTTCTATGAGAAGGTTTTATCCTTGGGAAAAAAAAAAAAAAAAATGTCCCAATTTTATTTATTTATTTATTTTCTATTTCTCAAGAATAAAAATAAAATAAAATGAAAATGAAAAAGATAGAACCAATAGATATCAAACGTCTATTTCCCACCAACCAAATCCCACTCATGCAGACTGGTTGTCAGGTAGAGGTTTCCTGGCGAAAATTCTCTCTCTTGCTTGCATTGACTGCAGATAATACAAATCCAACTCTGAGTGATTAAATTAAAGCTAAAAAAAATCAAAACATGACTTGCTTGCCACATGTATACTTATATTTCATCATTTCCTTTTTGCCACTTATAATTGGACCCATATTAAAATTTTGGTAAAAGAATTAAGAAAAGAAAATCAAACTACCTGTTTTTCCCAGTCTGTTAGAATTGTTATTAGAGACAGGGAGAGTGTTTGTACAGTAGCCCCTGCTACAAGTCCAGTCCAGAGACCCTCACCTTTAAAGTTAAAAACGAACCCTAGTAATAAAGCCACCGGAATGCCAACCAAATAATAAGATCCCAAGTTTACGTAGGCCCCTATATGTTGCCATCCACTACCTCTAGCCACTCCTGTAAACCAACAACATTACTAATAAAAACAGAGTTTTTAAATTATTATTAAAAAATGGACTCACTTAATAGGATCAGCTTTGATACTTTTTTNAAAAAAAAAAAAAAAAAATTGCAGATAAAATTACCTGAAAGTACAGACTGTGAGCTGTCCATGATGATGGAGAGGCAAAGATAAGGAGCCATATCTTTAATGTAACTAATGACTTCCTTCTCCCCACTAAATGCATATCCTATTTTGCCACGACAAATGTAGATAGTAAGGCTGGCTAATAGAAACTCCGAAATCGAAAGAACCAAAACTGCACAAAGAGCGAATCTGGCTGCCTCCGGTTTACCCGCTCCCAGCTCGTTCGATACTAAAGTGCTGAAAAATGGCATTCACGATTACGGTTTCGGAACACAAATTAAAAAAGAAGGTAATAACAAAATCTTGTGCTAAGGATGGTTTTTGTGTGGGAATATATAAGTTGTGGTGGTAAAGAACATACCTTGCGGCAGCACCAAATGAAAAAGGTATGTGATAGTGCACTGAAGTAATTGTGAAGCTGCGTGTATAAGAAGCGTACACTTATGAGTAGCTATACTATGGAACAGTACAATAGCTGACAAAGTTTATAGTGTGATCGAAAGAAAAAAAATACCATATGGAAAGAACCGATGTCTCTAGCTGTGGGTTTGGCAACACTCCCGAAAGCAATATTACTAGCTCAAATGACCACCACTCCAAACTAAGACATTTTTAGCAATTGGATTTTGTTGTACATGATAAAAATACATGAAAATGGTTAGAGAATATTACAAATTCTACCCCACGTTTATTATACCAATTTTTTTAAAGGGGAAAAAGAACTTTGAGTTTTTCTTGTTCCTATTTGCAAAATCCATTTAGTGGGTAGAGGTATCAGTACACCAAATACAAATTTCAAGGTTGTGTATGGACTTTGGAATGTTAACTGGCATTTTAACATGAAAACACCATAAGATTCCTTNCCTTAGCTACAAACTAAGCACAACAAACACTAATCAAGGCAAGTAAAATTACCAAACCATGACAGCCGAGGGGATAGCAAACCGAAAGAACTCCCCCATAGTTGCAAAAACATCCTTTGAAAAAGTGGCACTTGTCTTCTCACAGTTTGGAGAGAATTTCACATAGAGCCCTAACAAGATTACATTAAACCAAGAAGACATCCCTATGGAAAGTGCCCCTCCTGCACTCCCGATATTTAGCTTGAATACGAAAACCCAACAAAGAAGCAGCTGTAAACACAGTGAAGCAAACGAGCTCCAAAGCATTGGGAGTATCAAACTCTGAGTCTGCAAGTAGCGAACCAAGGACTGAAGAATGGCGTAAGGAAACAATGAGGGGATTAACAAGATTGCGTATTTTCCTGATTGAGAAGAGATAAGAGGATCTTGGCCCATGAATATTAGGATCTCCTCTGTGTAAATCCACAGGATTGAAACTGGTATGCACACCATAAACAAGCATAAGATGGCCCCATATGTAAAAGTCCCGACCCTTTGAAACTGCTTTGCACCGTACGCTTGACCACACAGAGTTTCCAAAGCACTAGACATCCCAAACTGCTTTCCAGTCATCAATTCATTAATAGAGTATAATAGAACTGGGATATAGTGACTTTCTACTAAGTAAGGGGCTAAATCTACATAAAACAAGATGAAACAGCTCTTTTCTACATGGGTTAACATTTTGGTGATTGATTACAAGGAAATATATTCACGTGGAGACCATGAATAGAAGATTTTTTTCATAAGTCAATTTAAGTTTACAGCGCAAACTTAATCAGAATCTGAACCGAGGGGACAAAATGCTTCAGATTTCTGAGTTTTTGTTTGACTACACAGACAATAAAGCACTGGGAAACAAGATCAACTAAAATCCTCAACTTTCTTAGTTTCCAAATATTTCTAGTGAAGCTTTTCACAAAAACTCGCAGAATGAAAGCGGGAAAGTAGACCCTACCTTATTCAAAAGAAACCAAATGAGGGGGAAAAAAAGACGAAACAAAAATAAAGCAAGGAACTTTACATGAAAGAGAACTCAGTAGAANCAGAGGGAAGGCATTACCAGCAAGCTGTATCCGGTGACGTTGCAGAAAGAAGTGGCAATTGAGGCACTAGAAAGAGAAAGTTCCCCCAAATGGCCGAGCATGAAAATGGGCGACACTCGCAGAAGGTATTGCGATAGGGTCACGACAATCATCGGCAACGCGATGAAATTAACTCGATTCAGCTCCTTTGATATCATCCGCCACCGCGTCCACTTCTCGCCTGACCCCTCCAGTAGAGGAACTCCGGCCTCCATTTCCGTTTTCTTTTTGTGGGTGTTATTTTTCTAAGAATCAGGCAGGGTAGATAAAGAAAAGGGTAAGTTGAGTGGAGTATTTGAGTAGCTAGCTGTGTGCATAAGACGACAACTGGTTCAATTCTTGAGAGACAAGTTGGCGGCGGCTGGTTTAGGTGTCTTTTCATTTTTCTCGTCTTTTTTTCTTTGGTGTTTAGCTTTCGGTTCTTTCGTCCTTCTCTTCTCTTTTTTGTTTTTATCTATGTTTTTATTTTAGTTTTTATTTTTTTCTTTTCACTCGTGGCTATGTCTCCATCACTCTTCGACCAGAATCCGGCTACCTTAACTCCACCGGCGCCGCCCCTTCGACAACATATGGCCACCTTGGAGATGTTGGCCCTCCAGTCACTGCCCAGTCCCCGCCAGTCACCTCTGTCTCTTTTGACCCAACAAGCTTTGCTTTCTCGCCAGCAGCAAGCGGCGGTCCGACAGCTCATGCTGGCGTCGCTCCTTTAGTGTCGGCCCCGCCGGTTACCTTTCTCGAGCCGACAACGCTCCAGAAGTTTGATGCTCGTGCAGCAGCCATCTAGGTGACCAGAAACTCGACCCCGACGGTTTTTGGGTCGGGTACACATGCAGAGAAGATAGCCCGTGTGGTCGCCGTCCTCGTCGTTGCTTTGTTTCCAGAACTTGGAGTCTCGTCGACTGGATCGCCGCCCAGTCCCATCCTCGCCGGTTTGTCGCCATCAAATGGGCCACAGGCCTTTGTCGGTTCTTTCGTCGGTTGTTTACCGGCCAGTCAACGGAGTCCAATTGAAGTTGACCAGATTGCCGTCTCCTTGGTGGGTTTAACTAGCCAGCATGATCAAAATCTCAGCCTTTTATATGTGCTGGCCAAATGTTAGGGTTTGATGGGGTAAAAGGTGGCGTGGCTAGCTCTCAGCCAAGCCTTCCTTTAGGCCGTGCGGACCTCTTGCCTTTAGCCCAGTTGACAGTTCCCGTTAGGCCTCAAGGTAACCATTCAAGTTTTGGATTTTTGGGCCTTCCCACTGGGCCTCCCCTTCAACCCTTATCTCCTTCCACTTTATCTTCTTTACCCCGCCCCCCTCAAATACTCTCTCAGCCCATGCGTATCAAGCCCACACAACCCACCAACCAAAATCAACGCACCTCACNGCGGTCTCAGCTCTGGCGCCGGCGCCGGCGCTGGCGGCCTCCTTCTCTTCAGCGGTAATTTTAAAGAGGCCAGTATTTACTAACAGGTCAGGTTTTACCGGCTCCCGAACCATCGACCACGCCACTCGGAGTTTATATTTTCGGACAGCCCCCGATGAGTACCCCGCTTTCAACCTCGACGACTCCGGCCTTGGCTCCCACCGGCTTCCGATCTTTTTGGGATTCAATCACCAACCAATCTGCCAATAAATCGGGAGGTAAGAGATTTGACAAATTCCGGGCCAATCACCATGGGACTGTCTTGCGTTCCGAGGAGGGATGGTACAAGATAAGTCTTCTAGAGCCTGATGTTTCCTATCTTGTCGGGTCGTACGACAATGCCTTGATTTTTAAAATCTCTTATATTGTTCCCAACCTCCGAGATTTTAAGTTTGGATTAAGAAAATTAGGGTATAAGGGTAGTTTTACACCTAAGTACTTTAATTACAATCATTATCTAGTCAGTTTCGATCTTAGAGACGATTACATTGAGGCGTGGCTCAAGACGTACGTGAACGTATGTGGGTGCACTGCCAGGGTGTTCAAGTACACCCCTGGCTTCTCCCTGTCGAATGAGGCACCTATTGCCCCCGTTTGGTGCCGCCTTCCAGGCCTTCTTCCGCACCGTTATGATCTTACCGTGCTTTTCTCGATTGCCAGTTTTATCGGCAATCTGATAGAGGTTGACGTCGCCATGCTCAATCGGACAAGGATATCTGTCGCACGGATGTGTGACGAGATATACCTCCGTGGTGAGCAAATTGATGAGATTGAGCTCGACCAGGCGAAGAAGACCACCATTCAAAAGGCGGTCTACGAGAGGGTCCCGCCCTACTGTTATCTCTGTGACCACGCGGGTCACATTGGGGCTAATTGGTACACTAGTAGAAACAAGCCCCGGCCGTCGCTTCCTCCACGCCACCGTGCAACGAGATCGGGCACCCAACTGCTCTGGGGCACCCCAAGAGGAAGGGTAAGGCCCTTGCCCGAGCGCCTGAGTCCTCGAAGGGACATTTATGACAATGGTAAGGCTGTTGTCGAGATTGACACTCAGGCTGAAAAGGTTTCACAGCCTAACCGGTTGAAGGAGACGGTCATGGACAGGCCAAAGGCCAGGTCCACGGGCTTCTTCCCCTCCCAGTCTCTCCAGATGGCCACCAAGGCCAACTATTCGTATTTCTCTACCCTTTCTACTGTGTCAGAGGATGAGCCCTCATCCTCCTCTTGTCCTTCACGAGACCCGATTAGTCCTCCTCTTGATGACGACGACCTACTTGTTAGTGTTATATACTAAAAGCTTGGCTTTGCATGTTATTACACATTTGCCCTTTATGAATGAGAATCATGTTAGATTAAACAAGTTCTACGTTCTATTGTTCTGCACTTAGATATGGTGGGTCGTCATCGGGCGAACCGAAGATCACTCTATCAGTGACTTGCGAACAAGAATAATTGTTCACAACCTAGATGGACATGAACACCCCATCAGAACGGTTGTAGTGTCAACTGTACAGTTTGTCTTGACTGATTAGTTACACTAGTATATTTATGTGTGAACAGGACCCCAGAGAGGAGAAGTTCATTTTATATTGATCGTCTTAAATGAACTAGGCCTCGATTAATTACTGCGTTCTCTTAACCCGTAAGATATTAAACAGGCAGATATATATATATATATATATATATAGGGGCTGGTTCAAATAAAAACTATGTCTGGTGTGAGAACCGTGAGAACCATATTTGATGCTATTTTTAATTGTGTATGATGCTATTTTTAATATTACATGGTGCTATCATTTTCATAAATGCTAATAAAAATTTTGTTGCTATTTTTAATCAAATATATCCTAGTTAAAATTAGCACTTAAACACAATTAATCATAGCACTACATACAATTAAAAATAGCGGTTCTCACGGTTCTCACACTAGGACTTGGTTCTCATTTGAACCACATCCTATATATATATATATATATATATATATATATAGTATATATTACTTTGATTCACATGGGTGAGGTTCAGTTCGCTGGATTAATATTCCTACTGTTTTGGATAATATTATTATATATAGAATGTGTTGTTAGGATATTTACGGTCACCATGTGCGTTAGTTTGATTATGTCCCCAGCGGGAGTTCATGAAGGATTGTTATGCTTAACCCTGCAGGTGGATTAAATTCTAGCATAATAAGAACGTGATGAACGATTGTTAGCTTCGGTGAAATAATAATAAATTAATTAATTCATGATTGTCAATAATCGAATTAATTAATGGACATTATATCTTAAACGTGGGGAGATAAATCAAGTAATTATTATTGGAGTCTCAAATGTAATTTGAGCTAGGAAAAGGGAGTGCAATAATATAAAGTTGGTAGTCCATTAATATTATTTAATTAATTAGAGGAGTGGGCTTTGCCTACAATTAGTCTAATTAATTAAGGAGCCCTATTCCTAATCTCCTAAGGGTCCCTACTGTAGCTCTATATATACATCATTAAGCTCATGAGAAGAGAAGACATCTGTCATAATTAAAACACACGCCCCACGCCTCTCTATCTCACTAGATCTCATTCGAGCTTTATCTTCTTCTTGTTGCTCCACTGATACAAGTTGAAGAAGGGTGTATTGAGTAATACAGTAGAAGACCTGTAGGTAAACTGAGACGAAATATATTTTATCCTACAGAACTAACCGGAGGTCCGATTGAGGAACGGAGCATACCTAGACGACCGTCTCGACGTCAGCTTCTAACCGCCGCCAAGATCGCCATTGTCCGCCACCGCATGCATCGTCAGGAGCTCACTGACTACAAGGTTCATCTTCATCTGTTTGCACTTGTTTGATCCGTTTTTGATCTGATTTTGTTCGTGCAACCCAAGACGTGATTTGCGGTCATTAGTTCGTGGTCAACCAGATCTATATAAATTTTAAGCCGTAAGTTCTCTACGTCAAACCTTTATATCCGCTACGCATAGGTTTACGTTTACTATTGAATTCGTGACTTGTACATAACGAGTTCCTCACTGATCCCAACACTACTGGACTATGACACGGACCAGCTTGAAATTTTAGTGAGTGCCGAGGCCGCACCGATCCATAACAACAACTTCTGTGACGTAGCATTGTCCAGTATACACGATACCTCCGCAGAGGGATCTCAGGTATCGAGGCCCACTTCCGCCATTGTTTTCCTAGAATGGAATGAGGCGACCCCTGTTCTTTGCTCCGAGAGTGAGAACCTGGCTATGCACACAACCAGTGCCATTTCTTAGCCTGCGGTCGGGGACGCTAATGTCCCGCGTCCTGTCTCCCCTCCCCCTCCCCCCCTTCTTTCTGTAGGATTTGGGCTTCGCACCTGACTGCCAGCCTGTGGGCTCTTCTTCAGAGCAGGTGGACCAGCTGGACGGTCAGCATGTTAAGAGCACCGATCGTCACCACCCTCTTACGAGATCTAGGACGCGCTTGGCCAGCTGGTCGTTACCCCACTCATGTGGATCAATTATTCTTAGCCACAGGTGGACCCAGTTGGGTGGCACCTCCGACAATTGATATGTCGGTCACATCCCTAACTTGGAACCCTCGTGGCCTGGCGAATAGGGCCACCCTAGCTCATATTAACACCATCATCTGTTCCCATAGGTTCGACTTCGCCGCTTTTCTCGAACCTATGACTAGCACACCTTCTTTTGACTTTTATTCACGCCGCCTTGGTTTTCACTCTAGCGTGAGACATATTTTTAATAAGATCTGGTTTTTTCAATCGCGCGACTACACTTGTCGAGTCATCCGTGATACCGTACAGGTGTTGCACGTCGAGCTTTATGCCACCCATCTCTCGGAGCCCATCTTCCACACTCTGGTTTATGCCACTTGTGCGAGGGTCGGGCGTTACGATATTTGGGATACCATGCATAGATTGCAGAGAGTATGGACGGATTACGTTGGTTGGTAACTGGTGATTTCAATATCTTTTTGAATCCCGTTGAGTGCGTTCATGGCTGGTCAAATCGTTCAGCTGAGATTTGAGATTTCTCTCAGGTGATGGCGGACTGTGAGTTAACTAACGCTGGTTATGAAGGTTCTCCCTTTACGTGGGAGCGGGGTAGAGTCAAGGAGAGGCTTAACCGTGCTTTAGTCTCTGAGGCATGGGCAAGGGTGTTTGCGGTTACGATCGTCACACACCTTCCTCGAATTGAGATGGTTTATTAGCGGGTGAACAGAAGATCATTTTATCAGTCACTTGTGAAACAAGAATGATTGGTTCACAACCTAGATGGAAATGAACAAACCATTAGAATGATTGTAGTGTCAACCATACTGTTGATCTTGGCTGATTAGTTGCACTAGTACATTTATGTATTGAACGGGATCCCAGAGAAGAGCAGTTCATTTTATACTGATCATCATAGACGAACTAGGTCTCGGTTAATTACTGCGTTCTCTTAACCCGTAAGATATAAATAGGCATGTGCATGCAGTAACTATTACTTTGATTCACTAAAAGTGAGATTCATTCTGCTGGATCAATATTCTTGATGTTTTGGGTAATAGTGTTGCATGTACGATATATTGTTAGAATATTTACGGTCACCATCTGCGTTAATTTGATGATGTACCCAATGTGAGCTCATGAAGGATTATTATGTTAAACCCTGCAGGTAAATTAAGTTCCGACATAATAATAATGTGATGAGTTGTGCTAGCTTTAGTGTACAAGATATTAATTAATTCTTGATTATCAGTAATTAATTAATTAATGGACATTATATCTTAAACGTGAGGAGGTAATTCGAATAATTATTATTGGAGTCTCGAATATAATTTCGTAGATGATAAGGGAGTTCAATAATGTTTACGTTAGTTGACCTAAACATTATTTAAGTAATTTGTAAGAGTGGGCTTGGCTCACAGTTAGTCCCAATACTTAAAGAGCCCAAGTCATCACCTTCTTAGGATCCCTATTGTAGCTATATAAATACATCATTAATCTCATGAGATTGAAGAAGAGAGAACATAACCCCACATGATTCACTTGGCCGGCCCCTCACTCTTTAGTTCCCATAGTCGACCTTTGTCTTTGTTTTGTTGTTCCACCGATACAAAACGAAGAGGTGTTTGAGTAATACAGTAGAAGATCCTGATGTACCGAGACCCCGAGATCAACCACCGCAGACGAGCCCCGTGATCCCGCATGAAGCCGTCGACCACCACAGCGAGCCGCAGCTCGCAAGCAGCCACGCGACATCCTCGTGCACCCGACGATCCACCGAAGTGCACGCAGCCCGCCCTCGGCGACCACCGCGTACGATCCCGTTCGCTAGCCGTAGCCCCGACATCTTCACGCTCTCGGCGACCCCGCGACCGCGACCCGTCTGAGTTGCTCCCGGCGACCATCGTCGGCAACCGCTGCAACCTGGAGATGCTCCCGACGAGCTTCTCGACGTTCGATGAGAAGAAATCTGGCAACCCAACGGATTCTGAGAACAAACGATATCCAACAGTGGAAACCTACAATGTCTCAGAGTCTGCAATTATAAGCCGTAAGTTTTCAACGCTAAACCTCCAGATCCATTGAGCATAGGTTTATTGTTATTGTTTAATTCGTGCCTTATACATAACGAGATCCTTACCGATCCCGACACGTGGTATCAAAGCCCACTGTTAATTCATTTTATACAAAGTTTGAATTTTTATGTCTTAATGTTACAACGTGTGTTCAAACGCAACCATATATTGGATTATATTCGCATAACTCGATTTTGCAGGAGTTAGTTTAATCCACTATTATGGCCAAATATGTGTTTGATGTATACTGTTGAATGATTTTTTAAAGCCTCGGATATGTCGGATATTTTGATGGTTGAATGTTTATAATTAATTAATCTCCCGGTGGGAAAACCGATAGATCTAATTATTTGTTTAGACGAACATATAAACCCATTCGTTGGGTCTAAAATTGAAATATGTAATTTTGTAAATTATATTTTTCTTGTTGTGATCGTGTGCAGACAACCGGGAGATCACCGAGACCAACGACCCTCGACGACCCGATCGGCCTCGAACCCAGGCGACGGGGACGAACCACCGTGTTGTTAGCGTCGTGACTCGTCAGATTAAAATTGGATTAGTTGTGTCTTGCGATGCTGAGGTATATTGAACACGTCAGAGAGTAGTTTAAAAGGAGGGAACAAGATGGGGGGAAAGAAAATTTTTGTAATTATACTTAAGAAATGTTAAGTTGAGTTGAATTTGAATTAGATTTAAAAAAAAAAAATGTTGGTTGTCACTTGTTACTCTTTAAAATAACAATTAGACTCTTTAAAATTACGGAAAAAATTTTTTTAACCTCCCAAAGTATGCGTTTTTTTTTTTTTTACTTTGCCATATAAAGTACTTTTGTTGACAAATTACCTCCCAATCTAATCGAAACTAACACATTACCTCCTAACACACGATTCCGGCCGTTCTTTGCACCGGAGAAAGCACGTGCACGGCACATGTGAGGGTAGAATCGTCTGTCCACTTAATGATTGAAATACAAAACGCCAAATCTGATGAAATCGACCAAATTTTCCCTCATTTTAACCCTAATCGCATCAAACATTTTCTCCTTTTCACTTTCAAACATTTTCTGAGATTGTTCATTTGATTAAGATTCACGAGGCAAATAGTCTTCTGATTAATGGGTCGATTAAAACATTACATGAACGGACGATTCTACCCTCACATGTGCCGCACACGTGCTTTCTCCGGTGCAAAGAACGGCCGAAATCGTGTGTTAGGAGGTAATGTGTTAGTTTCGATGAGATTGGGAGGTAATTTATAAAAAAAAAATACGTTATATAGTAAAGTAAAAAACAAAACGCATACTTTGGGAAGTTAAAAAAAAAATTTCCCTAAATTTATACAGCTTATAGTAAATGACCACGTGGCAGTTACAAGATTGTGCAGGTGTACTTGATCCCACAACCCTTTTCAAACGCAAAAAATCCTCTTCCTTTCACGTATTGCCGCAGCCGTTCCTTCTACTTCCAGTCTCAGGTCACCCTCTCTTTCTCTCGCTCTTGCTGGGTCTTGTTTTCTGTTAACAGGTTTGTAATAGCAGTCCATGTCTTGGAACCAGTTGTTATTCCCAGCGAAATTCTAGTAAATTGAATTGAAATGAATGAGCTTTTTATTCAATTTACATGGGGCATGTCTGTTTGGTTTCAGGAGTCGTGTTTATGGCAGTCATTTTAAGCTACGCCTTTTGTATTTGATTCTTAATTTGTACATCTTTCAGTATTTCTGCTTTTGTGTTAGATACTGCCTCCTTGAAGAAAACAATGAACTATTAATTGGTATTATTACAAGAAAGATCTTGTCTGTGGATGAAATTGCTGCTGTTCTGTTTTCTATTTAGAAGCCGAGGATTAGATAAAATCGTTGGGAGTTGGGACCCTAAAAGTAAGCATTATACGAAAAGGAAGTTATTTCCGTGTAATCTTTGTGGGTAAAACACTAGTAAGGGTCAAAGATGAACCTTTACTGCCAAAACTTAGTTACTGCATTGTCAGTTGTCAGTCTATTTCTGGGCTAACTCTCGTTTATTTAATTTTGCAGTTGAGAAGAAACCAAAAGAAAAGGTGATAAATATGATAAAAAGGAGGTTTTATAGGATGGAACATGGTAACAGGGATGACCCTTCTGGATCATCTTCTTCTGATGATGACTCTGAAGTTGGAGGAGATTCCACAGACGAAACAGATATTGAAGAAGATGATGATTATGAGGTAGAAGAAGAAAAAGATGAAGAAGGAAATGCTGGGTCAGATGATAGAGAAAAGGGACAAGCTTCATCCTCTTCTGGTTTGTGTATTTGTCAATTATATTGCTGAAGCCATAGATGGCTAAAGAAAATTGCTTGATTTTGTAGTGTGTTTTTCTCTTAGTTTGTTTTGCCTCACTATTACAATGTCTTGATGATCTAGTCTGTGATACTCAATGCTGTAAGTTTGAAACTCAGTGGAATTTGTTAACTCTTTTTTTTTTTTTTTTTCNCTTCAGGTTATGAGAGCGAGGATAGCTCAGGCAATGAAGTTAATCTTGACTCATCAGGTTATGTTTCTTTTTATGCTTAATTTCCATTTGGAGCAATCCCATTTGGGGTATGTCTCTCTATTGGTATCTCTGAGTTTCTCTTCTGTTCTTGACATTGATGCAACTGTTTTTGTCTCTAAAATCCTTTTATTCTTGCTCTTAACTTAAAACCACTGAGACTACTTATTCATTGTTCACATTGCATGCCATCATTTGTAGGCTACACGGACTCTTTTTCAGCAGTTTAAATGTCTCATCGTAATTAGGTTTATTTATGGTCATTTTTTTAATTATTATCTCCCCTGCATTGCATAGTCTTTCTCAGTTTTTTCAATTCCCTAATTCTTATTCGTATTCATACTATGGTTAGTTTTATTGTTCCTTTTTTCTTCTATTCAAATCGAATTTGTTTTGGCAGGTTTACCTACGAGTGACGATGATGTGGCAGCTCAAGACAGCAGGAAAAATGGTGGGGTGGACAATTTACTTGCCATGGCAGAGCAGAGTCCTAACGAGGCCCTTATTGATACTCCAGACTGTGTTTTAAAGTGTAAATCAGTTTTCAAGTGCAAACTATGCCCTAGGATTGTCTGTCTGTCTGAGGAAACCTTAAAGGCTCATCTGAACTCCAAGGCAAGTAAAAACATTTCCTTTGTCACATTTTCCAAACTTAGTTATTAACTGGCATAACGCTGATTGCGATCCTTAACATATAGTTTCTTGCGAATTTCCGTTCTTTTAAGTATGATTAGATTTCTAGATTTGGCTATTTAATGCATGCTTCTCTTTCCTTTCGATTCGTCTTTTAACTTCTTATTTGTGGATTTTTTTCTTTTCTCTGCAAACTGAGCATTTGTGCCATGGTTGTATCCTTTATTGTCAATGCTATGTTAAAAAGGAACTACATCATAGAAACTGTAGAACACAAGTAGAGCAAAAATGCCTCGTAAATGACAACAAAAAATTGTACCAGTGTATGTAAAGGCATGCGCTTTGCTTGCTAGGTGGTAAATAAAATTCTCCTATTATTTCTATTGTATCTTGAGGGAATATTTTTTATATTTAAGATATCTATCACGGCCATCTCTTAAGAATTATTTTTTGTGTTTGAGTGCTGATAACTTCTTTCCATCTTCTTGACAGAGACATGCCCGTTCTGAAAAGCTACGTAAAGAGGGAAGACTTAAGCTTATGCTCAACGATGATGGGGAAATTGAAGCCGAGACCCATTCAGATGATCATATTACTACAGCTGTCTCTGGAGATGGACAGGTATCATATCCTTCAGTTGTGGTGGATAAATTAAAAAATATACCATTTTTTTTCCAAATTTAATGTATTAAAAAAAAAAAAAANAACCCCCCCAGGAGTCGGCCAAGCCAAAGAAAAAGAGAAAAGGACCATGGAAAAATTGGAAAAGATCAGGACAGGTAGATGACATCTGATTAAACTAATTTTGCGATTGCATAAATTATTGAACTCTTTCTAATCTGTGTGAATTATGGTAGGAAACAAAGTTAGGGAAACAAAGACCATCGGAAGATAAGCGGAAGAAGAAAGGGAAGAATGAATGAATGCTAGCTGAACAAAAGAACAATGTCTCCTTGATTTTTTCCATAAAGAGGATTGAGGCTTGAATCCTACAAAACATTAGACTGACCTCTTTGCTTTGCTTTTAGATTTTTGTTCCTATGTTGTCTAAATGCTCGGGATTCTTGAAAATTTACAGTGGTAATTTGGAATGTTTGACTTGCAAGTGGATAAAACAGTTCAGCGTAGATTGTAAGCTAATGTGTATTCCAATAGAGATCATTAAAAGATGGCAATGCCAATTATGCAAAGCAACTCCGGATTTACCGTCTAGCACAAGATTGATAACTCAAGATCATGGCGCTATATGTGAGAGCTGGCTGAACAAATTAGAAATAAATATTAAAAATAGCTATATGTGTGAGAGCTGGCTGAACAAATTATTATTTCTAATTGATTGATGGTGACAAACAGTAACAAGGACTTACAAATTGAAAATTCTAGGAAACTTCTGAGCTTATGCTCATGAGAATTATAGTTTAATTCATTTGCCAGTGCAAAAACTCTAACAATGACCTTGAACTCAGTTTCACCTGTTATAAGCAACACTTGACAGAAAATTCTTAAAGAGAACCAACTACACTAGACACAAACACATAAAAAAAAGCCTAAAGGGAATCAGCACATGAAACCAACCAAAGAACTGAGACCAAAAACAAAGGCTTAAGGATGATTTGGTGAAGGCTGCTTTTGTTCTTCAAACCCATCTGCTTCAACAGGATGCTCAAGTTGAGAAGCTTCTTCTCCAGTCTCGTTTTCAGGGTGAAAATTAATGGGAAATTTGGTCACTCTTGGTTTGTCAGACAGTATATTTCTCTGAATTTTGTCGATCAAGACTTTCTGGGGAGGTTCTTCTCTCAGATGCTCATCATCATAGTCGTTATTCACGTAATAGCCCACCCGAACAAACTCTTGACCCAAGTAAGAGCACGTCAATAAAAGCACAGTGACACCTATGATGTCTTCCTCGCGAATCTTGGAAGGATCTGGTGGGTCCGCCTGATTTTGATTCAGAGGGAAATGTTAAAAACGCAACATTTTGCAAAATTATAGTTAGTTAAGACATATATAGTTGTCATAATTACCAGCAAAACAAAACGATAATTTCCAACATTGACAGGACCGACAAGGACGCTTTCTAGGAGTTGATCATAAGTCTCATCCTCTGCAGATCCCACGTATATGAGCTTCCATTCCAAATCTGAAGAGAACTTTTTAATTAGAATCTTGAATGGACAAGAGAGTTTACTTTAATAAAAGTAAATAAATAATTGCATTTCATATATTAATATGGCATCAATGGTCAAATGAATCATCATGGAAGGTGGGGCAAGAAAAGCAATTAGAAGTGATCAAAGGAGGACACAGAGAAGCAGTAAACTCGTAATTCGAGCAAACCCTTGGCAGATGCAGATTTTAGAAGGAAACCATTCATCATATTAAGAATCATTAATCGTGGTATGCTAATTTGCATAGGTTATTTAATGAAGAGGCCGCCCACATTCGTTTCTTCAACCTGGAACGTATCTGGAAGTGATTGTTTCTTTACATTTTTAACTGCAGGTAAACCGCTGCCAACTCATCTACAAATGATCATTATAAAACGCACAATACGTTATGCTTATCTATCGGTCTTTGAAAACTTTTTTTACCTGTGATCAATGTTTTTAATACAGTACCGGTAGTCATGTCGGTCTAGCCACCCGTACGTGGTATTACCGGTTAACAGGTAATATCGTCGGTTGCAAATATAATAGCATAAATTAATTTTAATATCAAATATGAAAAAAAAAAAAAGTAAAAAAATTAAATAACTCTATTTACTAAGTCCCAACTTCTCAATAAGATAAAATATGACTACAAATTCAACTTTTATTTTTGTAAGTCTAATTAAATTACCTGTCCATTGACTTTTACATCAACAACCATTAGCTTTGCTTGAGCACTGTCGTTCCTTGTTTTCATATATATATTATTGTTCAACGGTATTTGCATTTGCCCGATATTTCCGGTAAAACTACGATACAATAAAGTATTACCGTAAATCCAGTATTTTGCGTTCATTTATAACAGGACCAATGGCCAGTATGGTCCAGTATTTGAAACACTGTATGTGATGATCTAAGGAGAAGATATAGGAAATAGCATAAGATCTTTGAAAGTTGCATTTTATGATCCTCGCTATTTCCTTATTTTCATTGTTCAGCATGAAGTGTAATATCTCAGTGTTTATTGTAAGATCTTGCTCTCATTTTCTCAACCAAATTTTTATAACATTCACAAAAGGATATGTTGGTTTTAATCAGATAGTACCAAATAGGTGTTTCCAAGTCAATACTTGATAGTAGCTACACTACACATTTACTCGTGCATGTGAACTTAATGTGGGAGAATGGACAAATGGGTTCCCGACCATCATTTTTAGTTCTGAAATTTCACTAGAAATAGAAGAATCTGTCTGTCTCACTTGTACTGTCAGATAATAAGCCTTGTGTAACATTTGATAGATATGATGAATAAAACCCTTACCTACTAATAAGTAGTAGCTTTGGGTTCAGTGTTCTACATAAGTCAAAGAAGAGATTTCAATGGAGTAATTGAAATATATCCGGCAAGCTACGTAGGTATAACTATTTAATTTATGTAGATGTTCATTCAGGTTGCTACAGTATAACAAATGAGGCTACAACATGAGAAAAGAACTATCTCTGTTGCCCCTGCTATCTAGAATATACTGTAAAGGTTTGGTTGTGTAGGATAATAAACAAATGATGATCCGTTATCTAATTATTCCACTTGAAGCTCAATATATTCAAGTTTAAAATCCCTATGAAAGATGCAACCTGGGAAATGTTATTGACAAAGTTGTTCAAATAATGTGCTCTGATTGTACCATACAGCAATGAATGGTATCACATATGCTTAGCAAAACCACTGGACTCACCATTATCAGAGCTTTATAAATGGTACTATTGAATAGCAACCTCCTAGCCCAAGATACATATTATAAGGTATCATCAAATACTATACTCTGCAGACAATCAGGAATTGATGAGCCCTCTGTTCTCCAAGTTCTGTTCGAGAAATGATATAGATCAATTATCTTTTTCAATAAATTTATCCCACAGTCCATTTTTATTCTCAGTAGTTTTTCAAACAATTAAAAATTTATTCTATAACAAAAGCACCATGCAAATGTTTGCTATTCATTATTTGCCAAAATCATCTTCTGCAACTTGACAGATGCAAAACCCTAATCCCCATTTTTGTACCTTCATCACAACATTCACAGCTTTGTCAGCTAACATTAAGTTTCTGTCTAATGTAATATAATTCAACTTTGTTCCAAAAAAAACAGCAAATGACAAGAATCCCAATTCAAGAATCCAAGAAACACCAAACCCTAGAAATTCCTCGCACAAAATATATATAGAAAAATCAACTGACAAATACACTTCTCTCGTAGCCAACGGGAATAAACACACAAGCAAGCAAAAAAGAAGAAAATCATCACCGTCTTTAAGAGAAGCCACGCATTCGTATGAGATTTCGAACTGAAAAGGGGACAAAAACGACGCCGGATTGTCCAGCACGGCGACATTCGTGATGTTAATCGCACTCATTCTGCCAAAACAAAGGCCGCGCGAATATCAGTACGGCTCGCACTTGCTCAAATACGCACCTGATTGAACTAAAAGTGAAGCAAACTTCATGGAAGGGAAAAGGCACTGGAAAATGGGGACGACTGCAAGGGTGAAGGATTTATCTTTGAAAAATTGAGGACGATGAAGGCAGCATAAACCGGTTGTATTTTGAAAGAGAGCCAACCGAAAAGGAAATGTTCTTTCAGCTTTGGAGGGCGTACCTGTCTGCTTTGGCGCTACTTATATAGATCACCGGCTAATGCTTTGCCAACTGGCTGTAGCCGGTTTTGTGATTTGGCGGGAGATTCTTTGTCTTGGGCCTGCAGGATGTTTTATGTGTTTAACAAACTGTCTGGGCTGGGCTCAGGCCCATCGAATAAGATATTTACTTGGGAATATGTTAACTCCTAGTATCTTCCATTTGAGTTTTTTCTTTTTTGGGTTTAACCTCCCAAAATTGTCCTATTTCTTAAAGTTTGTTGTATAATGTTCAAAGATGATAAGTTGTCTTTCAAAGTACGAAATTGACAAATTGTATCATACAATACAAATCCTAACATGACAATAGAAGTTTTTATCTTAATTAACAATGAATTTTGAATCAAATTTTAAAATTGATTCAGATTTTTTACACATATGATGAGACAGACAAAATAAAGTATGTTTTATCGATTTTTATAATTGATTTGTTGGTAATCGATCGAAGAAGAAGGTATGTGCCACGCCGCACGTGTATTGAGGAAAATTTTCGTTTTATATTTTAAGACGGTCAAGATATTCAATTCTTGATCGGGAGGTGTCGATGAAAGCCAACTCTACATCCAACAAACTGGAGACGACCACCCCAAGAAGACATGACCATAGAATAAATAATACGCATATCTAAAAAATTTTGGAGGTGGAAATTAGCTAAGCATATTTGAAAAGAACAAACTAGATCCTCCCTCTGTCCGAAGAGAACATAAAGGAACAATAGTTGCAGGGTCGTAGGCCACCATCTCCTCCGCTTGTTCGAATCCTCTCTCTGGACGGAGAATCTCATAATAGAGATCCCTCCAATTCCAAACTCGAAATATGGATAATAAGTTAGGGCTCTACGAAAGAGACAAGACAAATTCAAGAAAATAATCATCTCAATCGAATGATTCAAATCTCTATAAACCAAAAATATATATACATAAATATTAGGGTTACAGTATACCTAAAGATAACCTAAGACTAATAAAGTAAATACACAAATATACACAATAACACCCCCTTCAAGTTGGAGCATGCGGATTCCAAATGCCAAACTTGCCAAGAAAGAAATCAAATTCACGCTTCCCAAGCGCCTTGGTGAAGATGTCAGCGAGTTGTTCCCCAGAAGGAACAACTTCGGGAAAATAATGATTTCAATCGGATGATTCAAATCTCTATAAACCAAGAATATATATACACAAATATTAGGGTTACAGTTACCTAAAGATAACCTAAGGCTAATAAAGTAAATACATAAATATACACAATAACAAGGATAGAGTCGTGGGTTGCGGTCCTGCAGAGGCAAAGAGTCTAATCTATTCTTTTT